GCTGGTTTCTGCCTTGGTTTCGTTCTGGCCATGCCGTGCACACCTGGGCTGGGGAGTGCGAGGGCTGTGGAAGGAGAGAGCAGGGCAGGATCCTCTACGGGCGCGCTAGGTGGGTTTTTTTCTTTTTTTTTTTTTTCTTTCCCCTCTGGTGCGAGAAAATACTACAGCCGCCGGAGGCTGTTTGTTGATTATTATTTCTCGCGGCTCCGCTGCGGCGGTGTGTAGCGGCTCTCTCACCCCAGGATTGCTGTTGTCTTCACAGAGGCTCCCGGGAAGTCACCCAGCGCCCTGGGAGGCGGCCCACGGCCGGGCGTTTCGGGCCTCGGATTGACAGCGGATCACGGGAAGAAATGGGATTATTATGACCCTCTTCCGAGGAGCTATGCTGCCCGCCATGAGTAGGAAAAAAGGCCAGAAATACCTCGTTTGGTTGCTGTCTGGTGCCGCAAGCTTCTAGCTTTTTTTTGTTTTTCCCTGCAGTTGCTTGGAGTCTCTGAGCTGCATTGGATAAATGCCTTTCCCATCCGATTGACTCCTTTTCAGAGAATTTTTTTTTTTTTTTTTAAGAACACCTCTCTGGTCTTCAATACTTGTTTGCATTTTACGCAACTGAACGGTTTCTCAGAGTAACGGCCGCGCTCAGAACCACTGCCTGATGCTCCGGAGAGATGAATTGCAGCTGAAAGTTCCCCTTCCACCTTTGGATGAATCTCTGGAGTTTAAATTGTAGGAAGGAAGGGGGAAAAAAACACGATGAAAGAGAAGTCCAAAAATGCTGCCCGGACTAGACGGGAGAAAGAAAACAGTGAATTTTATGAACTGGCTAAATTACTACCCCTGCCCTCCGCTATCACCTCTCAGCTGGACAAAGCGTCCATAATCAGACTCACCACCAGCTATTTAAAAATGAGGGTGGTTTTTCCAGAAGGTAGGTGGGAATGCCTATTCGCCTCTATTTCCATTCCGATCCAGGTGTCGCTTGTCGCTTTTGTGCACTTATTTAAAAAAAAAAAAAAAAAAGGTGAATCGCATGGGGTGGTGTGCTCGGAGGCAGGGTGCTCTCCACTGTCACTTTTCTCTGCCGTAAATACTTTCCCTTCAGTTCCTATGACAGGTTTGGTGGGGGACTTACGGTGCTTTTGTCAACACTTGAAGGCACTGAGCTCTGCTGCGTGTTCTGCTAAAGCAAACACGGGTTGTCTTTCCCCCCGGTCTCCCAGTAAGATGTGCATCCCCCGCCAAGCACGTGCGTGGCGAAAGAGGGGACGACGATTCACCCCTATTTATAGGCATACTATGGGGGGAGTTAATATATGGGTAAATATTTACATAAGTCTATGCAAAGTCCTAAAGCCTTAGTTCAAGTATCGAGCAAAGGTGCGGTTTACAGGTACAGCACGCGCGTACGGGCGTGCTCACACACACACGCACACGCACACACACAGCCTAAATAAATAAGCCAAGCACACCGAATCGCATCATGAATGTGATGTGTCTCGCTCTGAGGATCACTCGGGCAGTCTGAGGGCGTTAATCGACCTCGGAAATTTTTAACAGGCGTTTTGTACTCAGACGTATTCAATCCCCCTGCCCACCCAGCGCTGCAAGCCCGGCGTCCGCCTCTGGGCCTGATTCTCCTCGACGGTCAGGCAGCAGTAAACTTCACGTTGGCTTCCACGGCAGCAGCAACGGTCCCGCCTGCCGAGCAAAAGCAGGCTTAAGCGTCCTAAAGTACGGCTTGCTTTCAAGTAGAGTTAGGATTTAAAGCGACCGTCTTGGGGCTTCTAGACCGTCTGCCAAGAAAGACGAACGGCACAGAAAGTTAGGAGAGTCGGAATAAAGTTCTCCTGTGCTCTCACTCTATTACTTTTATAAGACGTAGGGAAAAAAAAATCAAAAATACTTCACGAATCTTTTATTTAGATCAACTCGATTGAGAGATAGTCTGCATGAAAGAAAAAGTATTAAGAGCTTTCCCCACCACCACCACCTAATAACAAAATTCGCTGCATCTTTCATTGAAAAGTGTGTGTACGAGAAACAACGTAATATATCCCTCTGCGTTTTCTGTAGCTGTAGCTCGAGTCGGTCGGTCGGTCTGTCTACTATGTTTTACAAATCAAGAGCGGGTATACGGCCTGGTTTTGTTTTGCTTTGGTTTTGGTTTGGGTTTTTTTTAACCTGATTAAGTCTGTGAACTATTGGTCCTAATGCTTTACTTTTTAAAAGTAAATGTGCAATCGGGCAGTCGTTTGGACTTGGGGAGGTACCCCCCCACGGTTGCGCATGAACGCGTGTACCTAGAGTCCACAGAAGTAACTTCCAATCTAGCGCATCTTGCAATAGTTTCTTTAAACAATGTGCCGTACCTCCGAATCACTTAGGACCAGAAGGGATAAATGAAAGCTATAACACCCGAAACCTTTAACAAAAAATTAAAGCCTTCATCACGCCACTTTCCTCTTCTATGTGATCTGCCACCTTGAAGATCATTATGCGGGGCAGTCCTCTTTCAAAGGAGATGGAGTTGTCCTTTATACTGTCAGCGCATACTTTATAAAAATAAAGCTATTGCAAACTCTGATGCCCATGATTTTCCTAAAAGGATTATTAGCAATGATTTGTCAACTCCTGCGGTCTCAGTAGGCTACGTTTCTGCGTGATTTCGAGCAGGTCTCGTCAATTACTGGTGCCTATGTAGCGGGTTGTTTGATCAGAAGAAGCATATGGTGTTGCTTGTAGGCTGTGAGTAATCATGGGAAGAGAAGAATAGCTGATCCCCGTCCCTCGGTGGCAGCGCAGGATGTTTGAATGCCCTGGGGAACCGTGTGGCGAAGTGCGCCGGGGCCGGGGCCGCTGCCGGCCGCGGCAGATGCTAATTCGAGCGCGGAGACAGAGGGGGCGGCTGAGCGGGGCTTTGGAGGCAGCAGAGCCCTCGCAGCCTAATTAAAGGCAAACTGCAAATTAAAAAGAAAGGCAGCGAGCAGGCACGAAAGGGCTCGCCCCTCCGAGGCGCGCTGCCGCGGGGAGGCCCGGCCGAGCGGGC